GTGGGAGGGGGGATCGGGATGGGGAACACATGTAAATCCATGGCTGATTCATGTCAATGTATGGCAAAAACCACTACAATATTGTAAAGTAATTAGCCTCCAACTAATAAAAATAAATGAAAAAAAAATAAATAAAAGAACATTATCTTCTTGCATTTCTCTTATTTAACATTTTAATTAATTATAACATTAAGTGGAGCTTACCTATAGTAAATCTAGATTAATTTATCAAAAGACAGCACTGTGACATGATCTCAACTCTGGTAGTTTTTAATATATGTAGTGTGAGTGTGAATATATGTATTATAGAGAAAAGTTTGAGAGAATATAATTATAATTAAAATATGTAATTTCCAGGATGGTTAGTGATTTAAATTATCTTCTTTTAAAAATGCATTTATATCTTCTACAATTACCTGTATTATTTGTGTGATTACAACCATTTTAAATCAGTATTGCTTAATTACTATCAGTTAACTTTTTTTACCCATTTTATTCTAGCACATGTTCATCTCACAGAAATAAATACCATGAAAATGTCCATTTCAGAATGGGGAAACACAGAGCAAGAATTATGAAATTAATTTATGCATTGAAAGTAACCTAGCACATCTTCCTCTGATGATGCCCTTTAATATTTGATTATTGATTATTCTAATTTTTGAAAATGTTCTTTACAGCTACAAGATCGCACTCAGTTCAGTGACCAAGACTTAGCCACTCTTAAGAAGTACTGGGATAATGGCATGACCAGCCTTGGCTCTGTTTGTCGAGAAAAAATTGAAGCAGTTGCAACGGAATTAAATGTTGACTGTGAAATAGTTCGGGTAAGGGATTTTCAGTAATTTTCATGTTGTAGTTGATGAGTGTCATATTAAAAATTTCATCATTTGTGTTTCTCTAATAACTAGTGATGTTGAACATCTTTTCATGTGCTTTTCTGGCTACCTGCATGTCTTCATTGGAGAAATAGCTACTTATAACATCTGTCCATTTTTTGATTAGGTCTTTTTTTTTTTTTTTGAGATATTGAGATGCACGAGAGGTTTGTACATTTTGGAGATGAATTCTTTGTCAGGTGCTTTGTTTGAAAATATTTTCTCCCATTCTGAGGTTTGTCTTTTCATGTTGTTTATAGTTTCCTTTGCTGTGCAAAAGCACTTAAGTTTAATTAGGTGCCATTTGTTTATTTTGGTTTTTATTTTCATTACTCTAGGAGGTAGATTGATAAAAAGCTTGCTGTGATTTATGTCAGAGTATCTGCGTATGTTTTTTTCCAAGAGTTTTAGAGTATCCATCCTTAAATTTAGGTCTTTAATCCATTGAATTTATTTTTGTGTGTGGTTTCTGACTCTGCAACCCCAGACAGTCCATGGAATTCTCCAGGCCAGAATACTGCAGTGGGTAAACTTTCCATTCTCCAGGAGATCTCCAACACCACAGTTCAAAAGCATCAATTCTTCAGCCCTCAGCTTTCTTTATAGTCTAACTATCACTGGACTGGTTGGATCTCCTTGCAGTCCAAGGGACACTCACGAGTCTTCTCCAACACCACAGTTCAAAAACATCAATTCTTCGGTGGTCAGCTTTCTTTATAGTCCAAGTCTTACATCAGTGTTCTAATTTCACTCCTTAATATGCAACTGCCACTTTCCCAGCACCTAGGTCTCCCACATAGCAGGCAGATTCTTTACCAGCTGAGTCACCAGGGAAGCCCATGTGGTATTAGTTCAGTTCAGTTCAGTTCTGTTGCTTGGTCATGTCCGACTCTCTGCAACCCCATGGACATCAGGCCTCTCTGTCCATCACCAACTTCTGGAGTTTACTCAAACTCATGTCTATTGAGTCGGTGATACCATCCAACCATCTCATCCTCTGTTGTCCACTTCTCTTCCCGCCTTCAATCTTTCCCAGCATGAGGGTCTTTTCCAGTGAGTCAGTTCTTTGCATCAGGTGGCCAAAGTATTGGAGTTTCAGCTTCAGCATCAGACCTTCCAATGAATATTCAGGATTGATTTCCTGTAGGATGGTTTGATCTCCTTGCAGTCCAACGGACTCTTAAGAGTCTTCAGAAGAAATGCTAACAGCTGGCTCTTGTGTGCAAGTAAATGTAGTCTTCAGCTCACACTGAAGGATCATTCCAGAAAATCAAGAGGTAACTACTATTAAAGGAAAAAAATAATACAGAACTCTTCCAGAGGAGGAAATATTTTCTCATACATATATACATGAATAAAGAGGGAGAAATATAGGGGAAAATCAGAGCATATTGCTAAAAATAAATAATGTTCTCAAAATAAATACTGTCACGCTCAGACCTTTGCTTTTTATTTTTTTAGGATTCAGATGAGCAGTCAAATGAAATCCTGTATTTACTGAGCATGCTGCTGCTGTTTAATCACGAAGTTGTGTCTGACTCTTTGAGATTTCATGGACAGAGCATGCTATGTGTTATACATATGAACTGGGAAATAGTAATACATTAAACACACCCAATTTCTAAGGAGCTTGAAGTCTAGCAAAAGAGATAACAAAAGAATATAGGTGACTGAAGAGAAATTGGAGTGGGACCATGGTATGTGGAGCCTAAGTGAATGCCACAATTATGGAAAAACAGAGAAGGTGTTTTCGTTGTCATTGTTTTTAATTAAAATTATATACACCCATAGCTTAAGGAGTTAAGTTCTGTAGAACTTGCTACAAAACCAACAATCTTTACTTCTCCCCTCCTACCATTTTGTGGCAGCCAGAATCAATTATTTCCACCCTTTAGATGATTCCTTTGGTATTTACCTCTATCTGTGAATAATTCTTTATTAACTAGAATTACGTTTTGCTGTGAATAACAAAAAGACTCAAAATAAATAGGCATTTATTTTAAAATATTTTAAACAAGATATTTCAAGTCCATGTACACATCTAGATCTGGCATGGCAGTTCTGCCCTGTGAAGTCCTCAGAGATTATGATGCCTTCCATCTTCCATTCTGCTATCCCTATGATGTAGCTCTTGTCCTCAAGGTCCAAAATCATGACATTTATGGTTCAGGTAGCATGACAGAGGTGAGGAGAAAGAAGGGACAAAAGTGTGTACCAGCTATCTTTTAGAAGGGATTCCCAGAAACTGCTACAAGATACGTTCACTTAAATCCCATTGGCTAAAGATGAGTCACATGGTCATATCTAACTGCAAGGAAAACAGCAAATGTAGTTACATTATGGAGATCCATGTGCCCAACTAAACTTTCTATTATATTGGATGAGGGATAAATATATTGGAGAACACCTAGCAGTTTCTTCTGTTTATATCACTGTTTCTTGATTTTTTTCAGTGTTAGGCATTGCTGATTGATATTTTACTATGAAATGCAAGGTATTCTAACTCTTTCAAGATCTCTTCATTGATCCTTTTCACCTAAATGCATATTTCTTCTCTTCTTACTCTCACATTATAATTACTTCATAATTTTAGTTGGTTTGATATTCAGTGTTAACATTATTATGACTATGTAAATGTGTTACCATTTGTCTTATGTAGTATAATATTTTTGTCCTTTTCTGCATAGTATTATTTTGTTTCCTTGAAGTCTAGTATTTAATTATTTTTCGGTTTTTGTATATTTGCTTGCTTAATTTTCTAGGTACCGACTACTAATTTATCCTGATACACTTCCCCACTTGTACATATCTCCTTTCAGTATATTCATACACATTTGGTAGTGTAACAATTTTATCATCTTAAAGAAATTTTTCCTGGAATCTTCCGATATGCTCCAACTTGAATTGATTAGTCTGCACCTGGAGCACAACTGTTACCCTGAGATTTCCATTTTCAATCTGTTCGTTCTTTTGTTATACTTTCAATAAGGTATCTTCAAATTTATCTCCCAAATTTTCCACTGAGTTTTTTTTTTGTTGTTGCTGTTGTTCTTATTCAATCTATCACTGATACTAATAAACTCCATGTACCATGAAAGCAGCTTTCAGACTCCTTGGATTGTCATACTGGTTCCTTGAGACCCCATACTCCAGGAGAGGAGACACAGAGACAGAATATTACTGAAAACATACTCTCCTGAAATGAAAGATAACCACAGGATTCCTAACTAGGATTTTATTTGATATAAAAGAGTTTTAGGCATAATTGATGTTAAAAATGGCCAAAGCCATTGACTGTGCAGAAACCTTTATCCCTATAGAAAACGCTAACAGAGAGAAAAAGGAAGAAGTATTCCTATTCTCTTCTTGTCTGTGGCCAGTTAAAACTTATATCAAGAGGGAGGGAACATATGTACACCTATGGCTGATTCATGTTGATGTTTGACAGAAAACGACAAAATTCTGTAAAGCAATTATCCTTCAATTAAAAAAGAAAAACTTCTATTAGGGGAAAGACCAGTGAACTGCTTACTATCCTTTTGTTTTTAGGGATTTTTCAAAATGCAGCTTGCTCATGGAAGAAAGAAACTTTGAAAAGATGATGTGTTTTAGGAGAACTGTTTTTTATTATTAGGAAGATAAACTGCAGACAATAATATGTTTGCCAGATAAATATATTCCTGAGATATTGGGAGAAACTATGTAGATGTTTTTAAGTCTAATAGACATTATAATTATTAATCACCAAAATGAACTTTGCCTCAGGATATCTAGTTAACCATTACTTGTGGAATAATGTGAAAATTTTGGATTCACGTTTTCTTGTAATAGCTTATAATTCTAAAAATTCTAAAAAAAAAAAAATTCTAGGAAGCAAACGGCGCATTTTCCTTCTAACTTCATTGACTGTTACTATGTGCATATATTTCTTTAATTTGGAGTGTTTCCCAGGTTAGAGTCGATTATTTATTGACTTACTCACTCACCAAAGGTAAACCGAACACTTATTATATGCCTGAACTCTTCTAGATGCCATGAGAAAAACACAGCTCTCCTTAGGAATTTGCAAATTAGCATGATCAAAATGTTAATGTCTCTGTGCTTCAGTTCACAGTAAATGGACTTAATATAATAAAGGGTTGTTTTGAGATAGTAATAATATATGTGGATAATAAGTGTAAAGCACCATAAGTGAAGTTGCTCAGTCATGTCCAACTCTTTGCGACCCCGTGGACTGTAGCCCACCAGGCTCCTCCATCCATGGGATTCTCCAGGCAAGAATACTGGAGTGGGTTGCCGTTTCCTTCTCCAGGGGATCTTCCCGACCCAGGGATTGAACCCAGGTCTCCCGCATTGCAGGCAGACACAGGCAGACGCTTTAACCTCTGAGCCACCAGGGAAGCCCCAAAGCACGATAAGTCTTTCATAAATTTAGTTCCCTGACCTATCTTCCTTAAATTCAGTTTAATGCCTTGCCTTTCCATCTATGTTTGGGTTATAGTGGAGAGATGTCAAAATGAACTCTTGTGTGTTAAATATTTGCATAAATAATACATTTCAAAGTTTTAAATGCATTTTGAAAGACAGGTAAATTTCATGGAAAATAGATGTATTTTTTTAAATTTTATATTATATTTATTTTCCAAAGATCATGACTAGATTTGACATCTTTAAACAGAAGACTGCTTTTCACTTATACTGTTTTTACCCTACTTTTTTTTTCATTAAATATATGACCCTCTGCCACTAATATATATATAAAACAAATTGTCCATGGTTGACTATATACCATATATAGTATACTACATACCATAGACATTGAATTAAAGCTGCTAGGTATCTTGAGATTGAATTTCATCCTCTTATTTTATATAAGAAAAGTGTGGTTAGATAGAGGTATAGCTTGGTGAAGGACACACAGCCAGTTGTTTATTGGATGCCAGATTTTC